GGACTTAGGGAGGGTCAATTACAGAAAAGGACAGCTCTTTATCCCACACGTAACACCCGAATCAGTGTTTGATTTAAAATAATAAAAAGTAACGTCACCTCCTGTTTTCATTATTTTTCTCGAGCTCAAGATTTCCATCGTCCTTTGAACGTTGATTCAAATCTGCGTCACGCTTCAAAAAACGCACCGACAGCCCGTCTGAGAATTTCTGAAGTTAAAATGATTTGAGTCTGGCAGAGACAATATGTTGCTTCAACCACATGCACATACCTAATATCCATACACACTTCCAATGTCACCATCAGAATACAGACAACCTTCTTTGATACGATCCCATTCCCACCCAACCTGTGCTTAACACGCTTTCTATAAACCCCCCGACGCCGACCCCTGACCCCGACCCATACGTAGCACTGTCGCCGCTCGCCGTCACTCCCTAACTGAACAGCTTGATGAAGCAGCCGTGGCAGTAGGGTTTGTCGTTCTGTTCTTTGAAGGTGCCTTTGTTGAGCTGTTTCAGGCAGAAGGCGCACACAAAGTGCTCCGGGTGGAACTTCTTGGCCATGGCGGTGATACAGCGTCCCGTGATGGGCTTCTGACAGCCGGAGCAGAGGGAGCCGCGGCGCTCGTGGTAGTGCACTTCACAGTAGGGCTGGCCGTCGTGCTCGAAGAAACTTCCATTCACAAACGGGGTGAAGCACTCCTGGAAAAGAGGACGACGGAGAGGAAGTTAGAAGTTATTCTAGTGCTCTTACTCTTATCACTGGATCTCACAGAGGCTCCTCAGCTGTTAGAGGTAGTTTGGGTTTTTGGAAGTGGGGGTGTTTGAGGTATTTATCCATATGTATCAGTTTAAGTGTACGCTTTATTTAGAGTATTTTCAGAGCCGTCAGACAACCTTTTCCAACAAGAAACTAAAGGTTTTCCATCAGTGTATGCTCTCTTCAAAGCCACCAGACTCCATTGATTAAAAACAGAACACAGGAGTTGTTGGTCTCGTCTGTGTTATTTTCAGTTCCTTCAGGCTTTTTTTGGGATTGTTGCGGCCAAAAAATGCCTGATTGTTCATAGGTTTTGCAAAGTTCTTGTACTATTTATTAAAAATTGAAGGCAACAGCTAGTAGTTAGGTGATGTATGGCTCATCATTTGCGCCAGGGTGCTGCTATGATTGGTGAAACTCACTGGAAACTACAATAATTGGTCACATTTGTGGAAAAGTTGCAGGGATTGGACTAAATTGCAAGGTTGTGATTGCAATGTCTTTCCTCTAACCAGCTATTCTATCTGTTTAACCGAGCAGCAACCTCCATGGATGGCAACACAGTGGTGCCAAAACCTGCCAAGATGACGACAGCCGGATCCGACCACACTGAGCTTCACAATGGCTCTTCACAGACCTGTGCGTGACGTCACAGAGACTACGGCTGCGATACACCAGCAACTCCAATGTTTTGCAAGGTAGAATGTTTTTTTCATGGGAGTCTGGTGGGTTTGGAGAGAGAGAGGCTTTTGACTATGCACCTCAAACAACCCCTCAATAAAATACAAATACAAGTGATGGTACAGACCCTGCAAACAAAACACTCCGGGTGCCAAAGGCTGCTCAGCGCTGAGATGTAGTTCTCCAAAATGGCTCTGGCACAGCCGCCACATTTCGGTGCAAACATGTCAAAGTAATCCTTCCTGCAGTAGGCTTTTCCATCCTTTTCATGAAAACCTTGAAACAGACACAGACAACAGATTTTAATACGAAATGAAACAGAAACTACAGTTCCTACGATATAAATAATAATTCAGTACCCTCTGGGCCAAAGAAGGATCCACACTGAGCGCAGAAGAAGTGTTCAGGGTGCCAGGTCCGATCCAGCGCCGTCACAACTTTCTGCACAGACACGACAACATTTATTGTAGCTTGGCCGTCGTCTACAACAGACACGGCGAGCACAGAGACGGAAACACGGCGACTCACGTCCAGTATGGGCCCGTTGCAGTAGTAGCAGCGTGGGGAGAACAGGTTGTGGTAATCTTTCTCACAGTACGGCTGTCCTTCACGCTCAAAGAAGTTCCTGGAGCCGATCTCCTCCTGACAGTGTGTGCACACAAAGTGCTCAGGGTGCCACGTGCGGCCCATGGCTGTCACCACCTGCACACACAGAGGAGGGCATTCAGTATGCAAACACTTAAACAGGACATTTTATACCTACAATTTCCCCCCTTTTCTGTCATATATATAATGTTGATATTAAATGTTCAGTTGTTCTGTACGGTTATTGTTATGCACTGAATGTAACAAGGAGCAGATGTTTATATATCAGATATATCAGGAAACAGGAAGACCAGATCATAGTTATAAGATAAATAAAGATGTTTTTGAAGAGTGAATCATGCAAAGCCATCTAATGGAATTAGATGAGAATACAGAGCTGGAAACGAGCACAATATGTCAACTTAAATGGCTCGTTTGCACGTCACATCGATCAAACCACGAGCAGCTTTTATCTAGCTGTTGTTTATAAGGTTGCTGTATTAAGAATATTTTCACCAGACTGACTTTGGTGTTTTAGTTTGGATCATTTAGTCACACAGTAACACAAACAGGTAGTGGCAGACCAGCGACTCCCGTGTTCTTCCACAGATATTATCTGAACACAAGCATCTCACCTGTCCCACTATGGGCTTACAGCAGGCACCGCACACTCCTTTAGCTACCGTCTGCACGCCCAGTTTGTTGAGGTCAGACTGCAGACTACCGAGCATGTTGTCCAGTTTGTTGACCTGTGTCGGAGGCCCACCAGGAACGCCGCCCTTGCCTTGGGCCATAATCTGTAAAAGGTTCAAGTATGAAAACAGGTGAAGATGTGGTTGACAGACACAGAGATATAACACAGTGAGATAAGAATAGGAATAAAATGAGTCCTGGTTCTGTGGTGAGAGAGGGGGGTTCGTGCCTGCACTGGAGGGAAGATTGGGTCGTACTCTGTTTGGCAGCCTACAGACACCAGGACTTTGGGTGCGATCGGTGTCACTGGCTCCACTGGTGGAGGCCGGGTTGGGGTTTTAAGAACGGGAGGAGGGGGATCTGGTTTGGGTGCAGGAGGCTCCTGAACTGGGGCCGGTGGAGGTGAGGCTTTTATAAAGTGCAGAAGCGGAGCGGGAACTGGTTCCTTGATGTGCGGAGGTTGTGGAGGGGGAGAGGGAGGTGGAGGAGG